TACTGCATCGTGAGTGGATTTCCCGTACGACTAAACATCGTAACGGTACTTGGTTTGGTCTAGGAGTTCGTGCTTCGAACAGGTCATTCCATTCATAGAAGAAGCCTTTTCATGGAGAAAGTACGGTACCTTTTTAGCAAAGGTTTGTCTAGGTCGAAACTAACTCCGGCTATATAAAAATTGATTAGAATATTGAAAATGTTATTCGTGTTAATGAATAGATAAAGATTACTAGGCCTAATATGTCCATTTTTATTGATCTAATCTACGTGTATTTACTTTCATAGTTTATATTTAAATATTTAAAATTGTTTATAAATTTATTTAAAATAGGCCTACTATATGAAATAATGTAATCATTAAAATTTATGATAATAATTTATATTTAAAGCAAAAGATTGAAACATGTTAAATACAGACACAAAGTATACATAAACCTATTTCTAGATTACAGAAATATGTAAATCTGTATTAAGATGATATCAATTTATATATATACATAGAAATATTATGCGTAAATATGTATTTAGTATAACAAATTAAATTTAAACGAAAATATGGAAGAAGCAGAGGAAGAAAAAAGAATAGGAAAAATTGAAAATGAACAATAATAATCATTTTTTCATTATTGCATCACGTTTTTGTGAAAATAACCCATCTTAAAGGACTATCTGTGGTTTTCTTCTTTGCCACAGTGAACGAAAAAAGTCAGTTATTCTACGACGTTTCGTAATTCTTTATCACTAAAAATTAACACTCGTTTTGACGCACTCCGTTCTGTTGTGTGTGTGTCTGCTGTTGAAAACAACCTTCCTAATTTTGTGACTGGCTATGATGACTGAGATGGACCATGTTGACTTGTTTGGGATGGAAAAAAGGAGTCAATTTCCCAAAAAATGCTCCATCAGCAAATAGGTCAGTGTGCGCTGTGGACAGTATGGCTATGGAATTTACTAACCACACAGTCCAGAATCAGGTGATTAAGTCGCAAAACTTTAGCTGCACTTGGTGGATTAAGTCGCAAAACTTTAGCTTCGTTTAGTGGCGCCATTTACTCTAGGTAGACGGCGACCGGTTTCGTTACCGGTTGGTACATTTCTTACAAACATTCAGGCAAAGGCCAGTCAAATTTGAGACGGGAGCCGGGTTTTTATCGATGTTTGCCATCCATATGTGTGAGCCATCGTAAATTCATGGGTTGCCGGAGTTACGTTCAATTTAAATCTCCGAACTTCTGAAGCTGAGATATTCTATGAATGAAGGCTTGTATCACAGACTAGAATTTAAAAACGGGTGACCAAATAATGAATTAGGTGCTAAATGTTGATTTAATGCTGGGTAAGTTAAAAACAGACATTCCGTCCGAGTGGGACTCATTAACAAATTTGAGGGGGTTCGCTAGAAAACAGAGGGGTTCGCTAGAAAAGGGGGTTCGCCCGAACCATAAAAAAAAAACCCTGGCTACGGGCCTGCCAGTGATTAGATGGATACATTATGAACAGTTAAATGTTATCTGTAGGCCTACAGATGTAAAGAACATAAACTAACACCCAAATGTAAACAATAGAAGAGAATAGACATTCATAAGGCGCTCAAAATGCTAAGTTGTCGGAGCCTAGCACTGCGACCGTACCGACCTCTGGTCGTATCCGACTGGAAGTAGGACCTGCCCTCTTGTCATTTATTGGTGGAAAGTAGGCCTAATAATGGCCACTTTAGCCAAATGATTACGACACGTGTGAGAGCGCCTACGATTAGTCTGACGACCAGTACTGACCATAATAAATTTTTCAACATGTTGAAAACTCCGCGACCATGCACGACCTCGACCACTGCGGTACTTTTGTCGGTCGTGTACCGATCACAGTGTAGTTCGTGATAGTGTGAGAATAGCTTTAGCCCCCATCCCCGTTGGGTCCTAGGCCCCCAACTGAAGGTCTGCTTCGCTCGCAAAACGCACTTCTCCCCCCCCCCCCCCCCCCCCTTCCATCGAAAATCGTGCCTACGGGCCTGCAATCCCTTGACAAGTACAGTATAACCTTCATCCGCCCTGCAAATCCTACGTAGTGAATGCTTCTCGAACTTTCTTTGCTTCGTATGGCACTGAGGGCGTTCCATACTCCATGCTAGGCACGCGCACGATATTATTTTGCATGGTATTTGAGTGTGTTTGCAGTTTCAAAATACGAAATAATTTCGATGGAAGAACAACAGATTCAGCTGCTAAAACAGTTTGTGCAAGCGGTCAAAGAAAACCCAAATATACTTCATGAGCCGTCCTTAAAGTTTTATCGAGATTGGCTGGAGAGGTATGAATAAAATAGCATTAAATTGCACAATTGTTAGGCCCAGGTTATCCAGGTCAACAATAGCCGAGGAAAGCGAAGCTAGCCTGCCTCTTCTAATCCTTTGATTGGTCTTCTTGGTGCCTGGGCTTTTGTTAGGCAAGCGTCATGTGGAATTAAGTTGTGATTAGGCCTACTATGATAATGACTTGAGTGGTATTTCCAAAATAACATCATGCACCACTGATAATAAAAATTAAGTTAAGTATTATTGTGATTGCCAGGTTACCCAGATAAAAGAGAAGCTGGGGAGCCCCATCCCAATCCCCCTCCCCCATCCTCAATCTCCAACAACCCAGCCATGGTCAGCCCAAACAAAACAGAAGGGGGCCCAGGAGCAGAAGAGCCTTGAGCTCCTATTCTTGCTATAACCCAGCACTGTAAGTAATGCAGAGTCTTGACCAAGTGTGCTCAACTAAGTAAGGGGCAAAAGACTCCTTCATTCAAGGCTAGTCCACAGTTTAATTTTAAAGGGACCAGGGGTGCTGCGTGCTGGCCCTAGTAAGAGAATTCACATCCTCTATTTAAAAATTAACCAGTGTCAAATGATAGTAAGATTATTGTGTTGAAAATCTTTAAAAAAATAAATACCAACCCTGTGAAGTGGTCCCTCCCAGGTCCCTCCTAATAATACTTTGCTAATAGTAATACAGTATGCATGAGACCTCCAACATTTCCTCTCCCCCAGGGCCCTATGACTTGTTGTTTTATGCTGCTGATTTCCTGCCCTCTCTTGCTAATCTAGCTTCGACTACTGACCTACTGGTATTTATCCAACCTACCTAAATAGTATAGAGCCTAGCATAGGTCTGTCTATGTTTATCTTTTGGTGAATAATTTCTGCAAAAACTAATTTATATTTTATCACTGAACATTTGGTGCATAGCAGGCCTACCATTGGCCATGATGGTCCACATGTTTGTACAAGGCATTATTGGCTATTCTTGCACCAGTGTGAGGGAATCACTAGAAAACAAGCTCTGATGAAGGCAGTATGAGAGGCAGTAAAGCTCAAAAAAGATCTCTATTAATTAATCAACTAATAATTAATCGGCCGAGTGTTTCTAAAGCTCCTTGTGAGGGCAGTAAAGCTAAAAGAAATTTATTAATCAATCAGCCAACTACAGTCCTTTCCGCAGTGTTAAGTAATGTGAGAAACATTTTGTGATTTGCCCATTACTTTATTAGGACTGAAAGTATCACTGCTACTTCCAGGCATATACCCGATTCACACGTGAAGTTAAATTTAACAAAAAGTAACAAATTGTAACCGAGCGATCTCCCGAGTTATTCCTACCGAGATAAAAAGCATTCACACGCATCTAAGGTAATGCCAAGGTTGTGTAAAATTTATTCAGTGTTTATTCAATGAACCATTTTTCCCCTACTGCGATATTGGTCTAGCCTAGGCCTAGTTGAGAACCCCTGTCACAGATGGACTGTTGAACTCACCATCACAGTAAACATTCGAAGCAATCAATACCCTTAACAACTGCTGTACTACACTATGAACTTCCAACGTTTTTGTCGACTCTTGTAATACTAGTAATAGTACTAACACCATCCCGACGTTCATTTTATGTATATCTTCTTCTACCATTACTAATTAACATCAATAACAAGGGTAATTCATTCATCATTGAGAAAAACTAAGCCTATCTATTTCTAGTGGATCAGAATCAACAGGAAGAAAATTCAAAGAACCCTGTGAAACAGTAGATTGTTGTTGTGTTGAAATCCCTGCGCATGCGCAGATCTATCCATGTTACATCTCAAAAGCTTTACCAGCCTCAGCGAGGCTGGTAAAGATTACCGAGATGTTCCAAGATTTTACAAGGATATTACACGGAGGTACTTTCACACGTGCCGTAAAATGTTACTTTTGGTTACATTTTGTTACATTTGGTAAGATTTTTGTACGTGTGAATCGGGTAATACACTGCCATGCTCACATCATGAAAATTGTTCATTATAAGAGGCTTTAGAAGCCAATCTTCTTGCCTTGTACATTAATGTTTAGATGTATGAATTTAGTAAAGCAGTGGTCGGATTCAAAGTAAAGGGGAGCACCGGCCAAGTTCCCCTCTCCCCCACTCCCCCAATTTTTTCAAAAATATGAAAAATAGAGAGAAAAAAAGAAAATTATATTCGAATTTAAGAGTGCCCTTTCCGACCATCTAGAAGTGCTTTAATCATAAACTTTCTTACAGTACCTCAGCCCCCAACCAGGGGGTGGGGATGAGGCAGTCTAGACCCACCATCTGTAAAAGTTTCTTTCTGGATCACCCCCCTCTCTATTTCAAATTCCTGGATCCATCACTATAATATTAATAATATAACTTCTGTACATTTCATGGCATACTGTAATACTTTGGAGGCATTTCAAATGTTGATATTATCACCCACAGCCTTGGAGCTAAGATCCCTCCACCTCAAGAGACACCAAAGGAACCTGACACACCAACACCTGCTGCTGGTGAGAATGAAGAACACAAGACTGATGAGGTAAAGTGTATAATACTGTATATTATTAATTTATTGATGGATAGTTGAATTGTTACTGTTTATACAGGGTTCGTACGTGTCCTTAAATTCCTTGAATGTCCTGGAAAAACAAATGAGCATTTTCCAGTACTGGAAAGTCCTGGAAATTAAATATTGACCTTGAATGTCCTGGAAATTTGATTATTTACCATTAATTGCAGTAAAAGTTGCCTAGTATTGTTTTACTGATACGGTACATGTCAACTTCGCAACAGCTGTTTGCTAAACAACCCTGGGCTGGCGGTAACCCAACCTGCGGCGCCACAAAAGAACCGAGTATTCCTGCATGCCGGTAACAGAAAAGACACTGTCACGTTTAAGCAAAGATAAGACCATTGATGTACGCGCACATTTATATTGCCGAGTGGAGAATTCACTGTAGGCGATCACCCCTGCCTTACTTTACCGGTACTTCCCCATACTCGTGAGAATTCCTTTGCTTATCATCAAATTTTACACGTGTGAGGAAAACTTAATTTTTAAAAGAAAAAGAGACAGGTCCATCGCCTCCGAATTAGAGTTTGATAAAACTTAATATGCACTAAATATTGTGTCCTTGAAATTTGGAAAATTTGACCTTGAATGTCCTGGAATTGTCCTGGAAATTTGCTTGTTTAAAAACGTACGAACCCTGTTTATAGTTCATTAAGAGTTATATTTATAGCAGGGATGTAGTTATGGTGAGTGGGGCCAGCTAGCCTAGAAGTTTTCCAGCCAGTCTAAAGCTAATTTCGTGGCCCTCCACCCACCCTTATTAACCCACTTTTCTATCCTTAAAATCCAATCTTGTTATTTAGAGTTTAATAATGTTATCACCTACTGTACCCACCCTTAAAATGTCTATCACCCACATAAATATACAATAGTAGTCAATATGCCATTATTGCATTATGTTTTTGTAAACATTTTTGGGCACTAATCGTCAGAGGTCCTGGTGCCGCAGCCTACACTTTTCATAATTCCCACTGCTAAGTGGGGTCGCCGGTGCAGATTGCTGTCCTCATCTGTCAACTCCGATGTATTTATGTCCTCCTTAACACAGTCACTCCACCTCTGTTTTGGACTGTACACACACAGGGCCACATCATCTGCAAACATCAAATGCTAAGTTTTTCAGTGGTCCCCGCTGAGCATCTGACCCGAGTCCTGCACCTCTCATATATGTCTTGAATTGCCTGATTTATTTCTCACATACTCTTTTCTTTCTAAGGCAATCAAGACTTCAACTCTAGGAACATGATCGTAGGTCTTTTCCAGGTCTATAAAACTACAGGCTATGTTGTCACTCAACTACATTGATGGGATTTTAATCTGAGAACCCTGGGATTGGAAACAAGCTACACCTTAAATCAATAACTAATAGTATTTCTTATAGTATTTATAGAGATCATTGGCCATTGACTCCAAGGAGCCCAGCAGCCTTTTACTTGCCCAATTTTTTTTTTTTTTGCTCTTTCACTTTAAGCTGGGCACTCACTGCATCATATAACAACAGTCGTACGACCTACCTCCGCTCTCTGTGAGGACCAGACGACGCGATGCCGTCTGCAGATTGTCGGTGGCACTCTGAACGAATCGTCATTAAAAAGATTGGTTTTGTGCACGTCGGGGGCAGTGAGTGCACAGCTTTAAACTAACAGCCTTTAAACTACAAGTATGGTTGCCAGTCATTTGCTGACAGCCAGACCGTTTGCAGTTTATTATTGTATTATTTTAAATTTGTACATGACATTTATGCAATAAATAGGTAGTGATACAAGTGTGACATATCTTTATTGCAGGCTGGTGGTGCCAGCGAAGGGAAAAAACCGGAACCAGAACCGGAACCAGAGCCAGAGGATGAAAGTGAGGAGAGTGAACTTGGTATGTCTACAAAATTTTCTTTAAAAGAGAACTAGCAAAATGATTTTTTGTCCTACAGGAGATTTTTGATATGCCATTAATAATAGAACCAACCTTAAAATCGTTTTTTGTTAATTGGTTATTAAGTTATAGGCCATTATATACGATTTTACCGTGACTTTATTAAGTTATAGGCCATTATATACGATTTTACCGTGACTTCACTGCCGAAAAAAGTAACAAAAGATCGTGTAAATAGCGCCACGTAGGGTATCTGCCGCGTGCGATCTTTGCGTGCATGCTGTAACCATGGTTGTTGTAACTTGCATATCAAGTCATATAGGCCTATAACTGCATCAGCGGTTGTCAACAGAAGAATTACAGCTATGGTTACAGCATGCACGCAAAGATCAAACGCGGCGGATACCCTACGCGGTTTTATTTACATGATCTTTTGTTACCTTTTTCGCCAGTGACGTCAGGATTAAATTGTATTCGATGGCCTATAACTCCAAAAGAAATTGCCAAAAAGCGATTTTAAGGTTGATTATATTATTAATGGCATATCAAAATTCCCCTCTAGAACTAAAAATCAGTTTGCTTGTTCTCTTTTAACATGTTGACTGCCAGACCTTTTTTAAGGTTCCTTCCCATGTGGCAAAACAAGTTGCAGGTAGCGCCCTCTGTTGCCAACCAGACGTTGGTTACCGTTCATTACGCCTGAACGCCTGCCTAGGCTTTCTGGAATAGGCATCTTAAAATCTAACATTTTACCATCAAAATGTACTAAAAACACAAAATATATTAGTTATCGAACACACATTTAATCATCAATTAAAATCTACAAAGAAAAACTAAGATATAGCATCTTAATAATTACTTTATAAATTAGGATCAATGGTTTGTCAGTGGGGAAAATGGCGTCCGGTTGAATGTATTTTGCAATGATAGCAACGGAGTAGTATCACATGGTATCATGATGTAACACTGTAGTACTCTATAGTGTGGACAGAATTTTAGAGAATTGTGTCGCCTGTTTGTGTTAGAGATGTACAGGATGCTCCAGTACATGTTTATAGTAAAATTGTCGGAGGATGGCTAAAAAAATGTTTTGTCTTGTGTATGAGCAGCTGGAGGGTTTAAATTTGCCTTTCGGATGAGATGCTTAGCCTTTGGGCCTGTGTGTGCTGTGTGGCTGTTTCAAGTTAGAACAACGTAACTGCATAAAAATATTACAACAGGTTGTTTTGCCATGGGATGGCCATGTGGCCCATGTGCCTGTTAAAGAACGCAGTGCACTCTTTGTAAATGAGTGGGGGTTTGTCCCCCTGTGTAGATCAAATTTATCACCTGAAGGACCCCACTGGAAATAAGTGTTCCAGCTTTCATCACTTCATTTATCCTTGCTGCATTTTACACCAAAGAAATTATGGGATGGCTAGTTTTTTATAGGTCAGCTCAGTGTCTCTTTTTTTTAAGATGATCATCTTGCTCCACAGAATTTGATATGGAAGGAGTCGTAGAAGGGGACACAGAGGAGCCACAAGAAATGGGTGATGACAGCATAGAGGTCACAGAGGAAATGATGGATGCTGCGAATGAGAAACGATCCGAAGCTCAGATGGCAATCAGCGAGGGAAACCACGAAGAGGCCATTAAGTTATTTACAGAAGGAATCCTGCAAAATCCACACTCAGCCCCCTTGTTTGCTAAGAGAGCAAAGTAAGACAGGGTTACTGCTACAGTAGCTAAGCATTCTCTATCAGATTTTTGTCTGTCAGATAGAATAGTGTTGATCAAATGTTATCTGATAAAGTAACACAATGTATTGTGTTAATCTTGGTAAATACCACATCAGATAATGTCTGTGAAACTCATCAATGTTTTATCAGACTTGTTGGAGCATTGATTTCAACCACTTAAAGCTTGGTTTCCATACAATCGCTACATGCTATCGTCAATTAATGACACACACTTCTGTTTAATAATGTTTATTATTGTCTGACTTCCAACAGACATAGAAATACAGTCAGTATACCCAGTTTTTTTGATAGACAGTGTCTGAAACAAGCATAATTCCATTGTGTATAGTGTTGCTCTTGAATATTTCAATTCAGTTCGATGTCTTTTATTGACAAATGGCAAAAAAAAAAAAAGTATGGTCATGTTTACTAAGTTTACATATTACACAAACAGCACAACACTAGACTTTCAAATTCTAATTGATTATTAAAACCAATAGATTTTTAAATAAATAAATAAAGCTTTTTGTATAGCTATTCAATTCGTGTTATTGTTGCAGGATTTTTTTTCTCATGACCAAAGCAACTCCACTCCCTAAGTCTCATATTGAGATTTCGTTTGTGTAAAGCATCGTGTGTGTATGTTTGTCTTGTGTAAGGTATTGTCACCTACAAATACAAGGACAGTGATATATTCACTATTGACAATCATTGGCACATGTATTGTGTGCCTAAATAATTCATAATTATAATAATAAAAATAGTATTTTCCATTAAACAACTATTCAGTAAGTTTCATGAAATTTATAAGCACTTACAAGTCTCCCTCCAATTAAAGACCACATTTGGTGTTTTATGGTATTTAGCAGCTTTGGTCTTTAAGTAGAAAAATTATCATTATAAAGATAAAAGATAGACAATGCTTTGGGGCTACAGAAAAGTGGTCTTTAATTAGTGGGGTCTTAAATTGGAGGGAGACCTTTATTTGGTCCTTTAGCAGTTTTGTCTACATTACATTTTGTGACTTAATCTTAAATGTACAATACAGTACTGTATGTTCATTTTTAACCCCCATTTTAATTGTTGTCTTTATCTACACAGTTGCTACCTAAAATTAATGAAACCTAACGCTGCAGTACGAGACTGTGATAGAGCTATAGCCATCAACCCAGATTACGCATTGGCCTACAAATGTCGGGGGAAGGCATACAAGCAGCTTGGACAGTGGGAGGAAGCAGCCCATGATTTGCAGACGGCCAATAAACTTGATTTTGATGAGGATATTTATATGCTTCTAAAAGAACTACAACCGAAGGTAAGAAATGGTGCGTTGGGAGGAATAGTGGCTCCAGAAATTAGCTGACTGAGGTCTGATAAGACTGACAGATGTTCCAAACCAAGGGGCCTGGATAGAGCCTTGGTCAGGGTCCAGGAATAAAAATCCCTAGTATGGGGAGTGTTTTATTGGCTAATATTTTTAGTCCAAAATTGTGTTTTAGAGCACAATATTAGGAATTGGAAATCAAAAATTAATATTATCTCTCTCCGGGGGATGAGATAATGGTAGGGGTTAAATTAGACAAATGATGAATGATGTTAGTGGTAAAGATAATTGGTTGTGGTGATGGTGATAGTGATAAATATATATAATTGTGGTGGTGGTGGTAATGAAGATAGTAATACTGGTTGTAATAGCTGTCTTCTTCGGAAGACACATGGTCATATTGACAGGATCACTTCCTTAACCCAGAGTGGGACCACCCTGACAGGTACTCTTCCTCTGGATCGGTAGGATTCCGGAGAGCTCTCACCGTGGGCATGGGGGCTCATATCCCTGAATGCTGAGAATGCCGAAAGATCGAGAAACAACATTACCGTACCCGTGCGAATAAGCGCCCAGCACTTTTCGAGGGGCACTTATTCAAATGGCGCTTATGAAAACAGAGTGAAAATTGAGGGGGCGCTTTTGGAAATATATATCAAAATTGAGGGGATCTTATGGGAAAATTCAAGCAGCGCTTTTTGAATGAAAAAAATGATTAATGATGGTGGTGGTGTATTTAAGGTTGGCCATCTGCCAATTGAGATTAGCAGGATCATTGCAGGGCTTCTTGCAAGCTCTCTTCTGTCCAGGAGAAAATATCCTCATTTTGAAATTGACCTAAGAAGAAAATGTGAATCCACTCCGCAGATCAAATCAGGCCAAACATAGTCCCAAGATTGATTAGATTATTGGCTTGCTAAAATCAAAATGACATGTTATTGTTTTAAAAAATTAATAAACATTGAGGGGCGCTTATTCAATGAGTTGCTTAAGAAAATTTTCACATTAGGAAGGGCGCTTATTCGAGAGGGGCGCTTAAGACAATTTTTACGTTAGGAAGGGCGCTTATTCGAGATGGGCGCTTATTCAAACAGGTCGATTATTTGCACGAGTATGATACCCTATGGTCGCCAGAAAAATTTTTTTTTCTAGATGCCCGTAAATAACCTCTGAGGCGTTTTGGACGATCGATATTTTTTTTTTCTTCCTTTTTTTAACTTTCCAAAGGTGGGGGGGGGGGGTGCTGGAAGAAGATATAATTATTTCTGTTGGTGTATACCCCTCTCACAAAAGAACAAACTGCAAGATCATATTCAGATTCAGGTTGAATTTTATTTGTCTATAATAGCAACGAGTACAAGTACTAATACCATTACCAATACCATTCAGTTGTTTCACTAAGGGGCTCAAATATCAATGATCAAGCAACATGCAATATCAGCATAAAAAGATGCGCACATGCGTCATGATGTGCGCGTATGCATGAGTAACTCTTTTAAAATGCTCAAAATTCTTTTTTAACAAACTATTAGCGTATTTGCCATCTTGAGAATTTATATTCTCAAGGTACTGCTTAGTAATGAATAACTGGCTATTATTGACATTATGTAACAGTATGTTGGGGGAAGGGGGTGGTTTTAACATGATTGTAAACCTATTAATCACAGTGCTTTCAAGAATGCAAAATAAAAAAACTTATATTTTATGAAATTATTAAATGTTTTGGACAAATATAAAATATTTTCATTTTTACAAGTAATTTCACCACCCCCTCCCCTTGCATCAAAAATGATGATGAAAATCAACATTTGCATGCTTGAATGCTTCAACTCCAGGGGGATTTGTTTTTCAACCTGGAATCCCCCTGACTTCAACAAGAGCTCTTCAACTGGACTCCACCAGGATATTTTGGTGCACATGAAGCTCTGGATGGATGGATTTATTCGGTGTAAACACTAAGGATAACCCATGGAAGTTTGAATACTTATTTCCGGTGGGGGTCCTTCTGGTGGTGATTGGGCAGTGCAATGGGAGACAATCTTCTACTCCTGTTCAAAGAGTGTACTTCTTTAACGTACACATGGGTCATAATGCACATGGGACGAACAGCTTAAATGTCTCATCCGAAAGACGGTGCGCTATCTTAATTTGCGTTTCAGCCCTCCAGCTGAAACACAAAGAGAGTAGCGATGGGAATTGAACCAGGACCAAAGGATCTCCATGGCTCAGCAAACACAGTGGAAATCCGCCTTCCTGGTTGCAACCCAACTGCACTTTTAAAATAACTTTTAAAGTGTGGATTGATAAGGTCCTACTTACATGAGACTAGGGTACTAGTTTCAGTGTTCTCTTGAAGTCATTTTAGCCTTCAATTTTACCAGTAAAAATAACTGACCAACCAGTAAAAAATTGTGTGTTGGTAGAATAAAAAAAAGCACTTATTTGTCCTAGGTATCATAGGCTGGTTTTCTTTCAATAAATAAACATCATTCCAGGCCTAGGCTATAATAATTATATGTATTGTTTTTGGAAGTCATTGAACTCCAATTAAAAGAGGCAATACTTCACGTTGCACTGGTTTGGCTGGCTTTATATGGTCAAATTTACCAGTAAAAATTGAGTTTGGTCTTAGAATAAATTAAGTTACTTTCCTACAAGGTTGTAAATTTACATCTGTTTCTTGAATATATAACACCATCCATAAGAGAATAATTTTATTTTATAAATATTATTTAAAATGAATTCACAGAATTCCAATTTAAAGTTAATAATATCTATGGTGAAATTCTGGAAAATCTTTAAAAATGATATTACAGAAAAAAATCCTGCAACACTAACAGGAATTGAACCCAGGACCCTGGGATTGGGAGGCAAGCATCTTCACCTCCAAGCTATTCCACTCCACACCTGCAAGATTTATTAAGAGATTTATTTTATCATATGCACTCTTGATCCTATCATATTTTATATCATACATAATATATCATAATTCAGTTTTTTGTTTTTCACTAGTTTGTTGTTTTTCACTAATTTGTTGCAGGTCATTATCATTCAGTAACTTTAGTAAATCAGGTAACTTGCCAAATATCGCAGTTTCAATCAGTTTCAAAGGACAACTATAGAACAAATTACTGACCATGTTGCTGTTGAGCAGTTGAAATGAATCCAACGGATGTATCCGAAAGAAATTTGACATACTCTGTGAACTAGGGAGGTCAAATCGACTGACATTTGCGTTAGACAGCACAAGTTGAAACACCGAGTACTTGGCAGGGTTGGCGAATATTTCCTGCTTTTTTCTCTCATTATTATATACCGACGATGAATGTTGATTGAATCTTTGTTTGTAGGCGTGCACTGTGAGCGCGTGTATGCGCGCTGATATTGCACGTTGCCTTATTGTTGATATTTTTGATTGTACGTGGTTAAGTACAATCATGTGTAGGTCGACACCAAGCAAATATTCTTCGTGCAAGAATAGATTCTTGAACTCATCGTCCTTGAATTGTTTTGACCAAAATGAGCCAACATACACTCGTGGTGGCTCAGTGACATTGATGAGTGGCGAGAGATTCCAGAAGAGGGCGCCATACACCCGCATCAACTCCCCCGTGTCTAAAACATCTGCCTTATTCATGATGATTTTGATTTTGGACTCGTGTCCTTTTAGACGATAAAATATAGATTCGAGCTCTGTACCAACATCGAGTTTTGTTGGATCAAACACTACGAGTATCAAATCGGCCCTATCTATAAACCAGTGCATCACATCGTTGAACGGATAACCCCTCTCCTGTTGCCTACGATTCTCGATGATCCCTGGCGTATCTACAAAAGTGACCTTCTTGAGTATATCCGATGGCAGTTCATATCCCAACAGTCGCTCAAGAAATCCTGTGCCGAAATTTGCGAGAAAGGTGTAGGGTTTGCGGTCATCTGTGACGAGGGCAGTACCGTCCACCTTGCGTGGTATATTCCCATGCATCAGAATAGTGAACTCAGAGGTAGTTGGTTCAGAACCTAAAATGAAACATGAAAGGTTGCATGTAATTTGTGTTTAACATGTTCTTGTTGTTGTTTGTAACTGCAAATATATAATATCAGTTGCGTTGTTTTGCAGTGGGAGGGCCGCACTGTCATTGAACACTTGCCTTACCGGGTGTTGTAGATTGGCCAAGGACTAGTACACATATTTTTCTTTTCAATTTTCTATTGATGATGCTGGTGGCGCTGCCAAATTCGTTACTTTATAAACACACTTGAGCAGTAGCTCAGAATACTAAGTAATACAACATGGCAGCAGCAGTGAATGTGGTAATATACGAAGAACAGTCAATATGAAGTGTTTACACACTGCAAAATCTACAAGCAAGTCTACACACTGCATTGCAGCCCACCAATATGTATCGGTGGTTTGTTTACCTGTAGGCTGGTGAGGCCCATTTTCATCAAGCTCTAGTATATAGTTGATCAGTGTGGATTTACCAGAACTCCAGGGACCCAGTGTCAGGACCATTGGATTGGCATCAATATCACCATCTGTTGAAAACAAGATAATTTGAAATTGAAGATATACTTGAGAAAAAACACATTAAAAATCAATATAGCCCATGTATTCACATGAGGAAAAACAGAATGCAAATTGCAATTATTTGGGGCTTGCCATGCCAAAACCGGCATTAGTGACACTAACACGAAAATTGACATTTTAATATATTCATATTTTGCGCATTATAACTGTAAGCTTCAAAGTAATGGGTCATTGTAAGTAAAAGTATTGCGGCCTCTCTGTACTTATAAAATAATGCAACATTCTTATGTTAATTACTCAGTTTAACATTTAGCGACAGTACGCTGGTTTTATCCTGGATCTAGGCCAAAATTGACATTATTCCAGCCCTGTCAAAAGGATTCCTTTTGGGAATTTCTGTGAGAGCCAGAGGCCATTTAGGGTGCAGTCCAGGGAGAAAGCTTTGTGTTCATCAGGGGTAAAGTGCAATAGAAATGTCAGTCTGATTGAGGCGGAACTAGTGGTCAGGAGAGGATGGCTTTGGGGTGTAAGCTGAGAACTCGCTGCGCATAACATGATTACAGTGGCGGATCCAGGAATTTGAAATACAGGGGCACAAAGAGGGGCTTTGACAGATAGGGGGGGGGGGTCTGTACTCCCTCAGACCCAACTTGGTTTGGGCTGATGTAAGAAAATTTATGATTATGGCACCTCTAGATAGACGGAAATGGCGCTCAGTATTTGAGTAGAATTCTCTTTTTTTCTCAATATTTTTTAAATTTTGAAAAATTTAGTGGTACCTGAAATGTAGTTTTATATAGCGCACATATCCATCTAACATAAGATGCTCAGGGCGCTTGATATGTGGACTATTTTGAATCCGCCACTGTGATTATAGAGAACAGATCGTTTTTAATGACGATCCTTTAAAGACTGTATGATTGTTGTACAATGCATTGAGTCCCTGGCTTTCCCTATTTATTGTAGAGTTCCGCTCCTGTAAATGTGTATATTCATATATAATTTCAACTGTTACAATTAATAAACTTATTTTAAATGTATTAATAATAATAGTTTTACCTGTTAAATGGTAGTTTCCCTGAAAATCATGATATTCGTAAAGGTCTTCTATGGGTTTTATATCCTTGTGGTATATATGCTTGAGGGCGCTCATAACCTCCGCAACCTGCCTCTCCATTTCTCCACTGTACTCTTTATATGTGTTTGGGAACTCTTTATGTAGAGTATCTTCTTTTTTTGGCTGTGATTGGCTGGTTCCTAAAGGGTAATTAATACTTTAAAATTAATAATATAAAAATGACCAGGTTGATATTGTAAAGCAAATCGAGGCCATGACATAATACACTATATTTTATTCTTAATTCATTTTAACAGCAAAAATGCCAATAACAGGATGAATACAAACATGCAAAATTTAAAATAAGGCAAGACTTTTTTTATACCTTGTTTCGCAAACCCGCCGCCTGCCAATATTGATTGCCAAAATTAAATTTTATTTTTGGCCAATTAGCACACCCACCGCCACAAAAAAATGGAAATTTCAGACAAAAATAAAAGTTTTTCTGCCCTCTCCTAATAATCTGTAAAAAATACACATGCACAAAATACAAAAAAAATTCTTGTCTAACGATCAAAATTATCAGTTATTTACAGTACACTATCAAAGTAAATTTCAGGTTGAAAATGTCATCAGCAAACATCAATTAATCAATGATTTGGAAATTCAAGACCATTTTGCAATCAGTAAATTCTATTTACTGTAGTCAATGTACGTAACACCATTCATAATAACAATCATAGTTATCTGATTAATTATTTACAGTACATGGAGTAAAGTTCAAGTTAAAAGTTAACAAACATTAATGATATTCCGATGTATTTATGGCACAATAGACAAAATTGTTAGATTATCACTCCCGTCTGTGTCAAAAGTTTGGTAAATATTCATGCGAAAATTCCTGCCTTAAAGATACTCTACATAAAGAATTCCCAAACAAATATAAAGAGTACAGTGGAGCAATGGAGAGGCAGGTTGATTTGGAAACTTTTGCTTGGTTGCTACTACTGATGAAACCGATCCCCAAGTAGTAGCGGGTAGGGCAGTGTTATTCCAATGGCATATTTGCCTCAGGAGAAATAGGTCGGGAAAAACATAATTCGTATTTCTGTGGTTGAGTAGTTTAAGAAGCCAGGCTGTCATCTGGAGATTGTGGGTTCGATTCCCACCCAAATCCCTGTTGTGATTTTTTCGCAAACATTTGGGATTGTACTGAGCATTCAGTATAATTTCTCCTGACATAAGGGCACATAGAAAAAAAAGATTAAATTATCTCCATTGCTCCACTGTACTCTTTATATGTGTTTGGGAATTCTTTATGTAGAGTATCTTCCTTTCTTGGCTGTGATTGGCTGGTTCCTGAAGGGTAATGAATACATTAAAATTAATATAAAAATTACCAGGTTGATATTGTGAAGCGTACAGAGTCCATGACATGATGCACTAAATATTATAATAACCAATATTTATTATATTTTATTCTTAATTCATTTATAACATGTAAAATTTAAAATATGCGAGACTTTTTTATACCTTGTTTCGCAGACCCACCGCATGCCAATATTGATTATTTGGAATAAAAAATAAAATTTTATTTTTGGCCAATTAGCACACCCATCGCCACGGGAAAAAAAATGGAAATTTCAGAAAAAGTTTTCTGCCTTTCTCTAACAATCTGTAAAAAAATCAGTAATACACACACACAACAAGATATATAAAAAGTCTTGCCTAACAATCAAAATTATCTGATCAGTTGTTTACAGTATACTATCAAAGTAAATTTCAGGTTGAAAATGTCATCAGCAAACATCAATTAATCAATGATTTGGAAATTCAAGACCTTTTTGCAATCAGTAAATTCTATTTACTGTAGTTAATGTATATAACACCATTCATAATAACAATCAGAATTATTTGATAGTTATTTACAGTACAGTACATGGAGTAAAGTTCAGGTTAAAAGTTAGTGATATTCCGATGTATTATGGCACATAAGAAAAATTGTTAGATTATCACTCCCACCCGCGTCAAAAGTTTGGGAAATATTGATGCGAGAATAAAAACAATTTTTTTTTCGCTGCATCATTTATTTCAACAGCTTAAAAAAACAATGCAATTTCATGACTGAATATACATTTCCTTTAAAAAACAATATTATATACAATACTTACAATACTCTTGCCAAATAAAAACAGTCCCTCCCTCATCAATTAAAAAAAAAAGCAATATTCTATTGTTTTGATGAAAAAAAAAAAAAAAAAAACCTGCCCTGATCACTTTTTTTTAAAAAGAGTAATAATTTAATCATTTTTTCTATGTGCCCTTATGTCAGGAGAAATTATACTGAATGCTCAGTACAATCCCAAATGCTTGCGAAAAAATCATGACAGGGATTTGGGTGGGAATCGAACCCACAATCACTTGCAAGATTATTTTTCGCAAGCATGTGGGAATGTACTGAGCATTTAGTATGATAACATGTCAGGTAGAGTAAAACATCATTCATATGAAACATCAATGAATCAACTATTTAATTTTTGTTTACACTCCCTTATTTATCAACTGGATGTAATCATGATTTTATATTTGTTTGCATATTACAATATTAAAATAATACGAAAAAGAGTAGTGTGCAAATTTTCAATAAACAATTATTTTTCACTAAAATAAAACTAAATGTGGTGAACTTAAGGAAATTCTTCGTTTGATTAATGTTATCTTCATCCTATCACGACCATGACTTCGGATGTGGAGGAAAGCGTCAAGACAAACCTAGACCTATGCCCTGTGTGGCTGCCAGTGGTGAGAGAGCAGGCTTCCTAGCCAGCTGCCATGATTTCCTAGTCACGCATACGTGGCCTAGCCTAGCACGATGATGCCTAACACATTCACCGGTTCTCGTGAACAAAAACTACTCGGTGAAGCATGATTAATGGAATAATTATGAAATATTGAAAACATTACCAGCGTTTGCTAACTGTATTAACACTATAATAATAGAGATTTTCGCCATCATCGTGTCTTCCTTCCTAAAGCCTCTGCTGAATGTGTACCCTTGCATCAAATCCACCTTTCTTGGGTACCGGCGATTTCGGAAACCGGGAATTCCCCTATTTTGTCTACCTAGCTTGCTAGAATATAGCATCTGATTCATTGGGAGGATTGTATCATTTCAATAATATAATAATAATATAATAATTATAATAATAATAATAATAATATTTAGGAATGGAGGTTTAGTATATTTTAGTAAGAAAGAAAGGATGCAAAATTTTTATTGATCTTTACAGAATCTCAGTACTCTCATTGGCAAATCAAAACTAGTCTTTATTTTTTTGCGAGTTCACCTTAAACCAAAATCGACTCTACCATATTATTTATAAATATATACGTCATTTAGTGACGTCATTGTATTGTTAACAAAATATTACCACCTAGCTTTCTTGAATAAGAATTTGATACTTAACCAGAAATTATTTGTTATGTGACTGTGGTGTTGCTACTTGTATTACGACTCTCCAGCTGGAACACAGGCAACCAGCAATGGGATTTAAAATAGGGAACAAAAATCTGAAAGAAAAATTCATTTCAACTAAAACTTTCAAAACTCTTTTGTGTTCATGTAGACTACACGTATTGCTGAACATAAGAGGAAGTACCAGAGGAAACGCGAGGAGAAGGAATTGAAAGAGAGGATGGACCGAGTAAAGAAAGCAAAGGAAGCTCAAGAAAAAGCAAGAAAGGTAAACTTTTTGTAATAAATAAATGTCTAGTTCTTTGCTGAATTGTTTCGTGAATGAAATCTTTGTATCCACATTTTTATATATTAATTCCTGGTATATGATTGGTTAATTGATTATTTAAAATTTATTTTCATTATTAGTGATTGGCTATCATAAACAAGAAATTAGTCTTTTAATTATTTAATTTAAAATATTAAATTATATATTGTTCATTGTAGTAATCAGTAATATCATTAATTACATACTCAGTTATTAATAATCAGTGATTTTTGATATTTTTATTTAAATAATTATCGCTTGTTATTAATTATTTATTGATATATTGTGTAATTTAAAAAGATACTATTTTGTCTTCACTGTTTCTTAAAGTAAATATTTAATTGGCTTTTTTTCAGGAAGAACAGGAAAGACGACAACAGGAAGCTGAATCTGGAGGCCGATTCCCGGGTGGTGGCGGTGGCTTTCCTGGAGGTTTTCCTGGTGGTTTCCCTGGTTTTGGAGGCATGGGAGGAGCCGGTATGGGAGGTGCCGGTATGGGAGGAGCCGGTATGGGAGGAGCTGGCATGGGAGGAGCTGGTATGGGAGGAGCCGGTATGGGCGGAGCCGGTATGGGAGGTGCTGGTATGGATGGAGCCGGTACAGGTGGTGCCGGTATGGGAGGTGCCGGTATGGGAGGTATGCCAAATATTAACCAACTGCTGTCAGATCCGGAGATTATGGAAGCATTTAAGGTGAGCAAGTTGCAACATTGCACCCACAACCACCAATACTGTACACTTGTATAGTAGCATACAACATCGATCAGTAATAGTATGATGACCATCACTATGGGCAAACTAGGATTCATATTTTTACTAGACCAGTAACTAAACAAAGGGTGCTGTCTGGGGAACAGGAAGTACTCACATTTCAACACTATAAAATATTAAGACTATCTATTCCTGAGCATTTCAGGCATATATTTATAATGGATACAGTTACATTTTGTGTTCAGTGTTAATTATCGTACTTATCATTTCCTCTTTTAAAAATTACCACATACCTCAGAGACGCATCAGTTAGTGTCTGACTGTAAGGAAGCCAGTCTGCCACTGATAACTTTACTGTAACTAATCCATAAAGGATTGTTTTTCAACAGGATCCAGAGGTGATGGCTGCCTTCCAGGACGTCAGCTCAAATTCTGCCAACATATCCAAGTACAAAGACAACCCTAAGGTCAGCGCCATCATCGACAAGATGACAAAGAAATTTGGAGGAGGCGGTAGCGGAGGAGCAAACCAACCACCCCCACCACCGGAATGTGATTGAAAACAAGACAACAAAATGATGTAATATTATAGGCCACCATATATGGTAAAATTAATAAAGATATGCAAAATATCTGGGTTTTCGTTAAATTTGATAATTGTTAAAATATTCAATTTAAAAATTAAGTTTTTTTTTTTTTTATTTTTTAACATTTTATAATTTATAATTTCATCATGATGTTTAATTTATGAACAAAATCGGTTTGGCTTTGTATTATGACTGTTATTATATTGACTTCTTGGATTGATTGATCGGTTGGTTGATTGATTGATCGATCGGTTAATTAATTGGTTGACTATTGATTATTTAATTAATTGATTGATTTATGTTTTTATGTTAAAGGAAGTAAATTCATGCAAGAGCAACACATGTACCATTTTAATCATAGTAAAAGTGGTTAACATCTAATCGGAATACTACAGTATATTGACCCATCACCCTTTTGATGATAGTATCGATATTAGATAAGATAAACTTAGCTGTCATGACCACATATTATGTTTATGTTTTACGTGATTTTACTGAATATAACAAGGATTGGCCAAGGTTAGGGTTGGAGTGCGCCCTCACGAATATACTGAAAAGAATAGGCATTCTATTGTTTAATCTACTGTTTAAACGTCAGTACTGCATAATGTTTTTGTTTTGTCCGACGCAACCAACTAGAGTTTGATGGGAGTACAAGACATTATCAACTTCCGTAGGAGTGGCGCGATTGGGTTGGGTGTCAGTATTAAATAAGCATTTGAAACACCTAAATGTTCATATTTTCTGGGGACCACTTCTAAAACATTTATGCGACTGACGCCCGACCACGCACATTTTGATCTCATCTGGGACATGGGAACCTACCTCGCCCCCTCTTCACTCCGGTCAGGGACCTGGGAAATATTAGGCCTAAAATTATGTATATCTGGCTTGTAATAAATAACAATGAAAGTTGGTTTGAAATTGATTGTCTATAATCCCAGTATTGTTAGGCATGGTATGTACAGTCATAACGAAAACTTAAACTTAACTTTCGATGCTCTTTCTTTTTTGTTTTGTATCTCTCCGTTGCGCTCAATGAAAGCATTGATTGACCAATTGTTTATAGGCCAGTCTTTAATTAGTTGATGTGATGATGCGTACAAACGTATATTGTATCAGATTTTAGGGGGTAGGGTAGCTCCGTCATCTTTTAAGTAGCTATTTTGTTAGATCGTAAATAAAGGTCAAATTGTTTTAAAATGTTGATCTTGTTTCGTCTTGATGCTTCACAGATGGGAGTTTAGACAACCTCACCCCCACCATAGGTTGCTTGCTAAGTTAAGAACATGGATATGCAACTCTAGATGCAGAATAATAATATTAATGGTAATATGTAGGGCCACTATCTATATAATGTGATATTTGTTCTTGGTGGAATCCGATAATTGCTTACAACTTGACTACAACTATAGGCCTATACATTTCAGTTTGTTAATTAACCTGATGCTATTCCGAAATTTGACTCGAGTTGGATTTGCATGTTTTTATTATGTTTGTTAAGTTTCTTGTAGAGCTCAAATTCATTCCTATGTATGTTTTTCGTGCAAATATTGTGCGGTGTTTGATGAATCATCAATAAATCGAAGGTACTTTTCATGGAATCATCATTAGCCATTGTTTTTCATGGACTCCCACATTCAAACAGTATTATCTCCAAAATGATACGGTGATGATGATGACGTTGGTGTGATAGATGAACATGATTATGACAATGATGCTATAGATAATCAGAGCAGAATAATCAATTGACGTGGATACGGGCATGTCCTAAAAACACGCAAATGTTTATGCGTTAAAACCTTAGCAATGATATCCAAGTATGTGGGGCATGACGGAAAAGGGTAAATTCGCCCTATAAATGCATTTCTGTGAACATCTTGCGGGAAATAAGTCTGGTCAAATATTAAACACTCAATTGGACGTAATAGCAACATTAGAAGGTGATCAGCCAAAATTATTTCATACAAAATGAAATGACCAGGGGTATGCATGGAGAAAGTACGTGGCAAACACTATCAGGGGCGGATTTAGAGGGGGCCGGGTGGGTCGGCACCGCTCCCTCCCTCTCCCCTTTTGCAAAGTAAAAGAAAAGGAAAGAAAGAATGAAAGGGTAGTGTTATCTCGATCATCCCCAATTTCGGCCCCACTTTTGGACTTCTCTGGAACCGCCCCTGACCATCGACGTTACTTTTTCAACTGAGAGTAAATGGGTACACGTGTTAGGAAACGAATTAATCAGGAATGAACTTAGTAGGCCTAGTGCATTACGCGGTTTCCCCCAGAGAGAGGGGGAGAGTTGTCAAAAAACCGCATTGAGCAGTTAATGAATATGTGCGCTATATAAATTCCGTTGAACTAAATATAAACAATATTCATCGCCGCGGTGGTGACACTCAAGCCAAATAAAAATTACAGTAGGGCCTATAAAAATAAATAGGCCCTACAAATAAATAATGAACTCATAACTCTAACAATAGCACTACAACTGTGACATCGCTGTTTCTCCTAATGACGCTAAAATTGATTAAATTACAAAATTTAGATTAAATTATTATTATACTGCAACCTAATCGCATGGAGAACCCAATTTTCCCACGCTTGATCAATAAACGTAAAAAAGAAAGAAAGCTATTGTTCTAAAATGATTGGCGGCGCACTTCCTGTAGGTGGCGCGTATACTCGAATCCATGAAGTGAAAACACGGCGAACTTTCCAAGGATACTACAATGTTATGGGAATTTACTTCGGATTTATACAAGTAATTGAACAAGGTAGCAAGTTTTGAAATGTCATATAGCAAATCAATTGATAACGTAATTTTTCTGCTTATTTGGTATCAATGAACTAGTAAATCTTTCTAATTTATTTGTGCATAGCACCGGAAATGGTGGATGTTTTGAAAATGGAAGACTAGGCTAGGCAGGCTCTCGTTGCACACACGCTGCCTATGCTAGCCAGGGGAAGCCGTTGCTTCGGTCAATGGGAGTCCTATACGTCTAGGCTACACCATTTTCCTAGGCCTAGGCTGGTGTACAAGTATTAATAGCCTATACTCACTTTTTTATACAGTAGGCTTATTCAACTTAGTAAGTAGATAAAAGCTGTAGAATGCTGGGTTATTCAGCTACTCTAGAAAATAAAATTCAATTTAAGAAATAATTAAATTAACATCAAACAATAATTTAATAAAAACATTAGGGCCTAACTAGGCTAGGGTTTGCTTCCTTTGCTACCTGCTGTAGCTAGTCCTTAGGCTCTAGTTGATAAATTTGACTGTTTTGTTTTGCACTGCCACAAGGCAAGGCTGTACTACTACTAGGCCTACTACCTAGGCCTAGTCTAACTACTACAGACTTAGAGGGGATCACAATGCAAGCATAACATGAAGAGTAAACTTCTGACAACAGAGCATAAAATATATAGTTATGTGATAACACTAGGATATTTTACTTATATGTCTTTCACATTCTAAATATTATTATTATTTATTTTTATTATTTTTTACTGTGCTTATTGTTTCATGGGTCATGCCACATAAAATATAATTCACTGAATTACACTGCCCATTTTTGTGGTATTTTCAACAAGGCTTTATAGGCCTACTAACAAATATACATTTTTTCTTTATTTACAGTAAAGGTAAAGGTAGTCCCATATTCCTTACTGAATGTAGGAGATGAGCTGTGAGCCCATTGTTTACAGTATGCTTGATTTATTATATATATATATATATACTGTCTCTTATACACATCTAGATGTGTATAAGAGACAGGAAATATGTAGGGCCACTATCTATAT